CGTTCAGGTCCAGGTGATTCGTGGGCTCGTCCAACATCAACAGAGTCGGCTCCAGGAACAGAGCCCTGGGGAGAAAACACACCTGGGCACACCTGGGCACACCTGGGATACACCTGGGATACACCTGGGATACACCTGGGAGACACCTGGGCACACCTGGGGACACCTGGGGGCACCTGGGCACACCTGGGGACACCTGGGATACACCTGAGATACACCTGGGGACACCTGGGATAGACCTGGGGACACCTGGGATACACCTGGGGGCACCTGGGCACACCTGGGATACACCTGGGATACACCTGGGATACACCTGGGAGACACCTGGGCACACCTGGGGACACCTGGGCACACCTGGGCACACCTGGGGGCACCTGGGCACACCTGGGCACACCTGAGATACACCTGGGCACACCTGGGCACACCTGGGGACACCTGGGGGCACCTGGGATACACCTGAGATACACCTGGGGGCACCTGGGATAGACCTGGGGACACCTGGGGGCATCTGGGTACAGCTGGGAGACACCTGGGCACACCTGGGATACACCTGGGATAGATCTGAGGACACCTGGGATACACCTGGGGGCACCTAGGACACACTTGGGGAAGACTGGGCCACAACTGGATGACAGCACACCCTCACCTGGCCACACCCAGGAGCTCACCTGGCCGGGGATTCCCTCATGTTCCACCCCCTGGACAGTTCCGGGGTCACCTGAGCTCACCTGGCCAGGACCACCCCCATCCTCCAACCCCAAAATTCCCCAGCTCAGCCTCACCTGGAGACCACCCAACCCCTCCCAGGCTACACCTGGAGCTCCCAGGAGTTCCCCCAAGCTTACATGAGCTCACCTGAGCTCACCTGGCCAGGACCACCCCCATCCTCCAACCCCAAAATTCCCCACCTCAGCCTCACCCAGTGCCTCCCACCCCCTCCCAAACCCCCACGTGAACCCAGCCCGAGCTCACCTGAGCTCACCTGAGCTCACCTGAGCTCACCTGTGCTTACCTGGCCAGGGACACCCTCATCCTCCATCCCCCTGAGAATTTCCGGGTCGCTCTGTTCTGCATCTCGGGGCTGAAGCCGAGCCCGGCCAGGATCCTGCGGGCCTTGGCCTCGGCCGCGGCCGCGCCGATGGCGCGCAGCTCCTCGTACACCTGCACAGGTGAGCTCA